TGCCATCAACACCTTCCTCCTTGGTGCCGCCCATGCAGTTTGGCACCTTTGTGCCTCGTTTAGATGGTTATGAAGAGTTTGAGTATTTATTACATTGAATTTCTTAACCGCTGGTACCAGAAGGCAGAGCGGTACCACCCAATAGCACTGAAGGAACTGAGCCTGTGTCCATCTGAAATGGGGAAAGAGGGGCAGGAGAGGGCACAGGACCAGGAGGACGAGGTTACTCTGCAAGGGACGGAAGAGGAGACAGAGCTGCAATAGAAGATGCTGCAGGTAAGGGACAGAGACAAGGGATCAGAAAGGAAACGTTTAGTTATTGATCTGAATTTACAGCCTTGCCCTCTTGGCAGTGTCACGGACTGACCAGATCACTACATCCCAAACGGACTTTATGCTTTGGGCTCCATCTCTCGGCTCGGGTGCAAGCAGGAGCCTGGTGCGGACAAACAAGCTCCTGAAACAGGGGCTGCTCCTTGTCCGTTCTTTACGTAATGGAGCCAGCTCACCTTCCTGCCAGGGTTATTCTCTGTCTGCGGTTTAGCAGAGTTCAGAGCATCCTGGACATCAACACCTTTGCCGCCAATCCCCGTTCGTATCACCACCCATCCTTTGCATTGCATGAAAAGCAAATGACAAACATACGGACAGCAAAGTATTTTTATTCCATCTTTATTGCCTGCTGACATGTTCAATATGCTCAAACTACATCTGAGGGACTGGATAGAGAGTGTTTCTTGTTTATATTTGATGTACGGCAGAACACTTTACATTGCACCAAATGTTGAGCAAACGGTAACATAACAGAGAAGCTGCAGTGGCAGCTGGAATTTCTGAGGTGGGCTACAGAGACTCTCTGGGGGCAAAAGTCTGCTCATCTTATTCAAATGAATCGCTTTTCTGGCCAAATTCTGCTCTTATATGCCAACTGACGAATACAGACCTAGTAACATGAGAAAACATGGAATAACTCTGAGAGCTTCAATTCCACAGCAAGCTGAAGAATATATAGCAACTGAAAACTAGAGAAGTGATTGCAACCATATAGAATGGCCAGAAGAAAGGCTCCTTGAGAGAGACATGGGAATCCATGTCCAAACCTGCAAACCCTTGCACAGAAGAGTATCAATAGATTTATTTATGGGAGAAGCTATGTTAGGAAAGAGGATTCTCTGCTTTGGAGAATCCCTGTTCACAGGGAAAAAGGGACTGAGAACTTGGTCTAATAGGAATAATCATCTCCCAGGGAAAAGCAATACTAGTTGCTCTACAGGTGATCGCAGACTGCCACAGCACTTTTAACTTCATTTCAGAACATAATAAAGGAAACATACAGAGAAAAGCAATCCCTCAATCCCTGCCCAAGAACAGGGCCACTGCATAATGTTCCCAAGAGGCCTTTCCTTCATTATGGCCTCTGCCGCTTCTTACCCAGGAGATAGTTTGGGATTTACCTCCAGTGGTCTAGATCTGCAAGACGCTGGGTTCCCCTGCGAGCTGCCAAGCACCCTACCTCACCAGGGACCTGGCCAGTCCCTGCACGGAGGGTGCATTTGCAAACCAGATGCCTCTAGGAATGGATTACACAGATCCTAAACCCATCACTTACCTAAATCTAAACATACTGCTTGGGCAGATAGAAGCATCTCCTGTGGCTGCTCTACACTAACTCCCCCACTTCTGTGGCCATTTTGACCCCATTTGGAGTAACAAAACAAGCACTTAAACTGTCACTGCTGATCATACTTGGTTATTGGACTTCACAGATCCTAAACCCATCACTTACCTAAATCTAAACATACTGCTTGGGCAGATAGAAGCATCTCCTGTGGCTGCTCTACACTAACTCCCCCACTTCTGTGGCCATTTTGACCCCATTTGGAGTAACAAAACAAGCACTTAAACTGTCACTGCTGATCATACTTGGTTATTGGACTTATATTGGTTACTCAACTGGTCTCTCCAAATAGGCTCCTACTTACATGGGTCACGTACATCATAAATCCCTTTTACCTCCCCAGGATGGATTTTCTTATCTGTCACATAGTTTGGCGCTATGGAGGCCGGCAGTGATGGACAAACAGGGAATGCAATTAAGCTTCCTACCGAGACAGTTGAACTTTGAGTAATAATTAACTCAAAACAAACTAACCAGTTAACATCCGGTGATTTAGGACCAGAGAAGCCAGCTGTGTAAGGTGGAAGATGGACTGCGTGGAATCCTCCCCTTACCAGCACAAGAAAGCCAGCACACGAGCATGCTCCATCCCAAATGCGGAGCCTGGTGCACCCGGCTCGGGTGCAAGCAGGAGCCTGGTGCGGACAAACAAGCTCCTGAAACAGGGGCTGCTCCTTGTCCGTTCTTTACGTAATGGAGCCAGCTCACCTTCCTGCCAGGGTTATTCTCTGTCTGCGGTTTAGCAGAGTTCAGAGCATCCTGGACATCAACACCTTTGCCGCCAATCCCCGTTCGTATCACCACCCATCCTTTGCATTGCATGAAAAGCAAATGACAAACATACGGACAGCAAAGTATTTTTATTCCATCTTTATTGCCTGCTGACATGTTCAATATGCTCAAACTACATCTGAGGGACTGGATAGAGAGTGTTTCTTGTTTATATTTGATGTACGGCAGAACACTTTACATTGCACCAAATGTTGAGCAAACGGTAACATAACAGAGAAGCTGCAGTGGCAGCTGGAATTTCTGAGGTGGGCTACAGAGACTCTCTGGGGGCAAAAGTCTGCTCATCTTATTCAAATGAATCGCTTTTCTGGCCAAATTCTGCTCTTATATGCCAACTGACGAATACAGACCTAGTAACATGAGAAAACATGGAATAACTCTGAGAGCTTCAATTCCACAGCAAGCTGAAGAATATATAGCAACTGAAAACTAGAGAAGTGATTGCAACCATATAGAATGGCCAGAAGAAAGGCTCCTTGAGAGAGACATGGGAATCCATGTCCAAACCTGCAAACCCTTGCACAGAAGAGTATCAATAGATTTATTTATGGGAGAAGCTATGTTAGGAAAGAGGATTCTCTGCTTTGGAGAATCCCTGTTCACAGGGAAAAAGGGACTGAGAACTTGGTCTAATAGGAATAATATCTCCCAGGGAAAAGCAATACTAGTTGCTCTACAGGTGATCGCAGACTGCCACAGCACTTTTAACTTCATTTCAGAACATAATAAAGGAAACATACAGAGAAAAGCAATCCCTCAATCCCTGCCCAAGAACAGGACCACTGCATAATGTTCTCAAGAGGCCTTTCCTTCATTATGGCCTCTGCCGCTTCTTACCCAGGAGATAGTTTGGGATTTACCTCCAGTGGTCTAGATCTGCAAGACGCTGGGTTCCCCTGCGAGCTGCCAAGCACCCTACCTCACCAGGGACCTGGCCAGTCCCTGCACGGAGGGTGCATTTGCAAACCAGATGCCTCTAGGAATGGATTACACAGATCCTAAACCCATCACTTACCTAAATCTAAACATACTGCTTGGGCAGATAGAAGCATCTCCTGTGGCTGCTCTACACTAACTCCCCCACTTCTGTGGCCATTTTGACCCCATTTGGAGTAACAAAACAAGCACTTAAACTGTCACTGCTGATCAACTGTCACTGCTAATCATACTTGGTTATTGGAATTAGACTAGTTACTCAACTGGTCTCTCCAAATAGGCTCCTACTTACATGGGTCACGTACATCATAAATCCCTTTTACCTCCCCAGGATGGATTTTCTTATCTGTCACATAGTTTGGCGCTATGGAGGCCGGCAGTGATGGACAAACAGGGAATGCAATTAAGCTTCCTACCGAGACAGTTGAACTTTGAGTAATAATTAACTCAAAACAAACTAACCAGTTAACATCCGGTGATTTAGGACCAGAGAAGCCAGCTGTGTAAGGTGGAAGATGGACTGCGTGGAATCCTCCCCTTACCAGCACAAGAAAGCCAGCACACGAGCATGCTCCATCCCAAATGCGGAGCCTGGTGCACCCGGTTTACACCATCTCAGTTCTTACACACGGGTGAAATCCCGGCCCCTCTGCGGCAGACCTGCCATCTGCTTCATCGGCAGCAGGATTTCACCCTCTGACTTGATCACTTTGGATCTGTGCTGGCACAAGATCTCAGCTGGATCTCATGTTATTCCATCAGAGCATCTTTCATCACAGGACCCTGCACAAAGCTTTTATTTCTCATACTTGGAGACAACATACCCTGGGGAACCCAGAGAGGAGGGAGGGAGAGATGGACCCAAGAGGACTCTGTGGCTTTATCAGGTTGGTGTGAAGATGGAGCTGCTCAAACGGGCCCCACACTTCTGTGGCCAATGCAGTGGTTTCAGCTGCCCTTGGGAAGGTGAGGGAAGATCTCACGCACCCAGTACTGACCAGATCCTTTTAGGTCACAGAGGACATCTGCCTGTTTCCTTGAAATTCTTAACCATGGTCAAATATACAGGTCTACCGAAACTGAGAGGGCAGAAAGTGAAAAAAACAAAAAAGGGAAAAGGAACAAAGACATCGCAAAATCATCGATGAGAGCCGCAGACAATGAGAGGCAGTAATGAACATGAAAGCAAAATAAACGTCAGGAATGAAATACTGACTCTGACGTAGCCAGCGATGAAACTTCTGTAGATTTCAATGGACTTCAAATTTTACCTGGAGGCTCAAAAGGGAGCATTTGCACCCAAGCACCTCCAGCCAAGACAGACTGAGCTTCCTCCTCATCTCATTAATTCCTCACTAAAATTGGTTCTCCATTTCACCAAGCTTCCATTTGCATCAGGAAACTCATGGCTAGAGGTCTGCAACTGGGATATCTTTGAAAAGTTGTATACATTTAGAAAAAAAATCCATCACTTAACAAACACCCTACACAGAAGCACAGCTCTGCATCAATTATACAACACCAAAAATGGCCAGAACAAAGACTTAAATATCTCAAGTTGTGATTTAAGATCATTTCTAGTTAAATCTGTTACCTGGACCAGGACAAAGAATCGTTTCTTCCATCTCTTCCAAACATTTTTACCAATGGCCCATAAATATCTAGGATAAAAGAATAGGTGAATTCAGTACACAAGTGACTATATGTTGTTCTCTTGCTTTTCAGTATGTTTTCTTCACACCTAGAAACTGAAGTTAATACACAAGCAGGAATAATTACAAGACTTTTAAGCTCAGCAGCATTCATGAATGTGTTTATTTCTAGCCTGAACAAATAACCTGTAAAGAAAGTGACACATAAGTGTCACTCTAGCCCAGAGTCTTAATGTTACACAGTATTAATTCTCTCTTCCTCTTTGTCTTTCACAACTTGCTCAGAATTTAGAAGCCCTTTAATGCCTGTGAATCGCTACAACATGGTAGGATTGGTGAAGAATACATTTGCAACAGAAGAATTAAGGGAGAGAAACCCCAAATGTTGCTTTAAGCCTTCACAAAACCATTTGGCTGAGGGGAGCTGTCAAACAGAGAGTTACTTACTACATCAAAACCAGTACCCAGGATCCCAGTAGCCACTGGACTGACTAAACCAGGACACTTTGCTGAACAGCTTAAGGTGAATTCCTAGAAATCGCTTGGCTATAGATATTCAAGCAAACTGAATTAATTTCTAAGGAGGAGTGTATTTACTGTTTTCTACAAAGGAAGAATTAACTTTTAAAATTAATGTCAAAATTAGCATTTAATCTCTGCAAAAACAGTGGCAGCACCACACTAATAATAAATACAAGGACATTATTCAGCATTATTACGTTTTATGTATCATTATAATTACTTTGGTTCTGGCTCAATACATAGAAAAACAATTCCTTTTTGGTTATGCTAGTGGTTCCTTATGCCAGAAGAGATCCAACATACTCTTGGTGAACATTTAAGCCACAAAAGTCCAAGTCATGCTGATGTGGGCATCGAGTCCCTGGCTAGTTCAAGAACAGGGAAATAATTGTCCTTTTTGCTATTGCCGCTAACATCAACAGAAAGACAATCTCAGTTCTGATAGGAAGCTAGTATTATAAACCACATAGTTTTAAGCAGCATCTTGTAAATCGAATGTTAGTTGAAAGCCTGAGAAAATGCAGGACTGCTGAGCCCTGTTGTTACCAGCTGGGGTCAAGGAAACAAGTACGACAGGTGAACTGTCCTTTCTTGGGTTTGGTGCCTGTGATCGTGGTGGAAAAATTAAACTTCATATGTGGCTATTGGCTCCGATCTCATTAGCAGAGAAGACAGGAGGAGGAGGAGAAGGAATTGAAAAAAAGATGAGTGATCCAAACCATCTAATAATGGATTGAATCTAACAAAACACTATGAAAATAAAAATGAAACTAAGTCATTTTTATAGCACCAAAAACATACTGGAGAAAGAGTTAATCAAAACACTGACTTTCCTGGATAGTTTCTATTTTTTATCACATCCTCAGCTCTGAAGAGCGAACAGAGGAAAGCCTTGCCAATGGCGCTAGCTAGATCTTCCCAAGGATGATCTAATTTGTCATTGGACGGCACAAAGGTGGAAGCCAGGGGTGGCAGTCAGGGATCCCCCTGGCCCCAGATCCTCTGACACTCACGTCTGGAGGGGAGAGGTTTCCCTTTTAACCGTCCAGAACATTAGTCCTACTCCAAGCAACTTCTGTTTAATTGTACTGTGTATCTCTGGATAAATAATGACAATCACACTGGAGTTTATTTCAAGTGGGAGGTGCACTGTGCTTTTGTGCAGAATAACTTAGGAAATTATACTGTTCTCAGTAAGAGAGTCAGGCAGTTCACCTATTATTTCCTTACAGGAAAAAAAAGAACCTAGCAATTTCCTGAGGAATACTGTTTAAAATTTAAACCGTTTGGCTGATACACATTAAAAAGAGTATGCTAAGAATACGGAAAGTGCATTATAAACGACTGAACTAATGCCATTTTTATATTTATCTTTCTTTTGACCTCCTGTGAACTTGAGAAAAAGAGTTTCTCTTCCAGAATCTTAAAAAAGAGAATTTTTCTAAGGCACATTCAAAACAAATTGAGTTCAGATCGAGACAAGCATTTACCCAGAGTGCTTCATGTTTTGAGGCTTATCCATTCGCACGGCAAGCTTGATCTTCAGGTCTTGATCCGGGCAGTTTTTGGAAACAGTCATTTTGTGCCACTCTGATTGCTTTGGGCTATTGGGAGTCGGGTGGAGAACAACCTGCAAGTGTCAAAATCAACAATGTTAAAGGGAAAAATTATTCACAAAATGGGTTGTAATGGGGAACAAAAGCACATCATATGAGCTACTTTTCTCCTGAAAGTTGGTCTGGAAATTTCTACTCACATCAGTGAGGATGGCTTTTTATTGCTTTTTTAAAGTACAGCTTATTATTTTGGGATTAGTTTATATATTCTTTGGCTCCTCTCTCTACTGTGCCATTGTTCATGGGGTTGTGCAGAACAGAACAGCATTATCAGTTCCCATCGTTTAAGGAAAGACCGTGGTAAACGAGCTTGCAACTGTCCAAGTAAATCAGTCTAGTTGTGATGGTGGACTGCTGAGATTAGCAAACCAGTAACAAGTTTTTGCTGAGGTTGCCCACTGCAATCCCCCACTTTCAGCCTCGTACAACTCAGGCAACCTCCAGCCTTCCTGACATTTCCCATGTGAGGTGAGCTGTTTCGAGGGCTCAGAAAGCTCTACCTAAAGTGGTTCATCTATTGCTACTATCAGGTTGTGGGGAAACTGGTTTGATTTTTTGCTTACTGTTAAGACTCGATGCAGGAGGCAATGTTTTACATAGGCTGGTGTGTCTGACTGCACTACGACAGCAGATAAAATCTGCATCCCATGTCATGACACCAGTGGCTGCAGGACTCTCTGCTTCCATTTCATGCAGTGAGGAAATGATGGGATGGTCTCCAGCTGCTGTAAATCATTGCAACACCAGACTACAGTGGAGTTGTGCAGATGAACACCAATGGAAGTGCTTGGCTCATCAAAGAAATCGAAAGGCTCCAAGAGGTGAGTAATCTTTTCTGACCATAGCTGTGCTCTTCCCACTCACCCATTACCCATACAAAGCAGAGTAGCTCCCTCAGACAGTGAGCCAGAAAGTATTCTCCCAGAACTACACCACATCCACCATTTTCTCCTGGTGTTTCCATGTGTGTCCTCTGAGGGGACTTAACCCTCTCCCTCCTACGCCCATTCCTATTCTGATGTTTTTACTCTCAGAGGTGACTTTTTGACTGGCACAAATTCATCCAAGTTTCCACCATCCTGAAGTGAGATGAATCTCCTTTAAATCCATTAACCTTTACGCAAGCAAATTATTTTACAAATGGCAGCATTCACCCTCATTATGTGCTGTGCTGCCATCACTTCTTTGCTCACGCTTAGTCCATGCTCCTGCCAAACTCTAGCCCAGACTATAATCTTGTATTCCTCTGCTCTTCAGAGGAGAGGAATGAATGTTACTGCTGAGTCAACAACCTAGGGGCTATTTTCCACCAAAATATCCCTGACGCTATTCATCCCTCTGATGAATCATTTTTAAAATGATTTTATTGCCTCTGGTCCAAAGACTGGGGTTAACATCAGTAGGTTCTTGACTTCACTCTTATTCATCAACATTATTTATCACTTCTTTTATTGAATTAGACTAGTGCTTTCTCTGGTAGGAATCTGAAGCTGTTATTAGTTACACAGATAACTGAGCAACACCAGTCTCTACTGCATCACTCTTGGAAAAAACCACATTTAAGCAAATCCTGAAGATGAAAAGTGAGTCCTCCACACGGTGTTGTTAGAAACACGGATGGATTCAAACTCTGAGGACCCACTGCAAGGTGGGTTGTGCAAGCACACAGACTTGCACTAAACCGCACCTCTCACCGAGGCAGCAGCCACTCAGGGTGTTTGGGATGCTCTCTACTTTGATTTCTAACTCTTTTTCATCAGAAGGTGCATAAACTTTGCTCAGTGTTGTTGTAATTCATGGCTCTTCCCCTCCTGGCTCTCAGTAGATGAAGTCTTGGCATGGCTGAAATCCGTGGGAGCCTTGCCACCACCTTCAAAAGGGCCAGGATGTATTCCCATGCCTTCAGCTGCCCATCCAGCAGTTTAGGGCTTGGGAGCATTTTCCAGCTCTCCCTTTGATAAAAGTGGTGAAATGAGGAGTACCGGCTGGTTGCCAATTTAACACTCGCAATAGAAAGTGAGCATTGTACATGCCTGGGAGAGCACAAAGCCGATTCTCAAAGGGCGGCTGAGCATGGGTGTTTTTGTGTATAAAACCTGCTTCCCTCTTCATGCAGACAGGTTCGTGCCCACTCCAACAGCTAAACCAGGGGCTTAACACGCTCCTGGTTTCATTATTTCATTAAAAAAGAAATCCTGATGCAGCCTGAGCAGACACGCGTCATCTCTCGGCTGCTTCAGGCACACCGAGCATCCCTTTGAAGTTCGGCTGACTGAAAGCGCTGGTGGCCACGGGCCAGGGGAAATCACCACCCGGCTCCCCGCGCTAGCCGCTGCTGGCCCACATCCTTCAGACCGCAGAAGCTCAGAGCTGAGGGATGGCTTCCCGCTGGACCAGGAATTAAAGCGCATTGGCGGGGCTGGCTCATCAGCATTTCAGGGCAAGAGGGGTTGCTTTGGGGCCTGACGTCTTTCTCAGAACAACATGCACAGCTAATTGCTTCCCAAGACCAGCAAAGTCAGCCCCACTCATGGCTGCCAGTGGAAACAAGACTTACAAAGCAAGTGGGTCTACACCAAGTGTAACCACTCAGGGAAAAAAGCCCTGAATGGCATCGCGGCCGGCCGGGTGAAAAGCTCTGCTCAGCATGCTGCAGCGGATAACGGCAGGAGTGCCGGGCTGTTTGAAGAACGAGATTTTGAAAATAATCCTGAAAATATTATGATGTTGTGCAGCAAAGCAGCTGTAGGTCTTCAGCTGGAGTACTGCAGCCTGGTGGGGTCACCCCCTTTGTGAAAAAAGGAGCAGGACAGGGAGAAAGGAAGGATCAAGGTGTGGATGAGGAAAGTCCAAAGGAGCCGTGACTCTTTGAAGAGAAGATTGAGCGGAGAAAAGAAGGTGTAGCTTTGCTTTTCTCTCTCTCAAGTGCAAGAACAAAGGATGTTACCTGAACATGAAAACCCAAATAGCTAAAGTGAACAAAAATTATATGAGACAAAATAACATGCAGCACTCTCCACCATAAAGATATAAATTAGATCAACAGCTCACTAGGACCTGGAAAAACATTTAGCACTTTTATGAACAGGACAAATACAAAACCATGTTAATTAGGAAAAATTTTGTTTTACAGACACAGACTCTCCTGTGTCAAGGCACAAGCAGCCACAGAGTTAGCAAGAAATATCCCAACAGCTTAGTCCATAACTTTAAATACCATACTTGGGCTTGCCACAGGATCAGTGGCTTTCTTGGCTATGGCTTTCTTGGCCATGGCAATGTAGACAAGGCAGAGAGCAAGGTGTGCTGCAGAGCCGGGCAGACAGAGCCCAGGCTGCTCCTGGAGAAGCTGAGCCGTGACATGGGAGGTGCCAAGCCCATGTGTAAGGTGCAGCCTCTCTTCCCGTGAACCAGTTTTCATGGGGTCTTCACCATGCAGATCTCACACCCTTGAAGAGCTGAGGAAGGGATGGCAGGGAGTTTGCTGCCTGGGGCCAACACAAATTATACAGCTGCAAAAAATCACGGAGACTAACTGAACTGTCCCAAAGCCACAGAAAAGTGCCGTCCACAGATATTCTGGAGCTGTGGGCTGCAGCGATGCACCAGTCCCAGGGCACTGGTTTAGGGACCGCAGGTGAGAGGCAGAGATGGAGTGGGAAGGTTGGCTCTGTGGCCAGTACCCCGGGAATCTGAGCTCTTTGCTATTAACACCATTGATGGGGGAAATGAACCTCCACATTTTGCTCCCCAGTCCAGCCCCACTGAAGCCACCAGTTCAGCCACAATCCCCAGGGGAGCCAGGATTTCAAGCCCTTTGCAGTGAGTACCGCAGTCAGTGCTTTCAAATGCTCAAACCGTGCACTGGCTGCTCAGCAGATATGAGAGCAGCTTAATACTCTCTTGCCAAACTTAAATCCCCTCTTTTTGCTTCAGCATAATCCCCTTTTCTGCCTCAGGAATGTCCATTTCCGTAAGCAACTTCTAAGGCTTTCCGGACTGCCAATATCACACACAAGATCCTCTGCCTTTGCTAAGTGCAGGCACAGCCAGCTGAAATGCTGCCATTAAAAACTCACAACAAAGACAGCATGCGAGATGCACTCCTTTCCAGCAGTGGAGAGCTTGCTTTTTTTCCTCTCTCCTGAAGCTTGGCAAAAAAGCAGAGCATGTTGTGCTCCAAAGATATTTCCGTACAGGAGAGATTTCTCTAGAAAAGCAAGGCCAGAAGGAAACATTAAACTCAAAATCTCCTTACCCTCCCAAGCTCTTTGTCCTCCAGAGCCAGCACTCCCGTGCTCTCCGTGAACAGCTTCACCTTCACTGCAGGAAGCGCGTGTGTTGTTGTGAAGTCTCCTTGGGTGCCCCAGCTGCGAAAACAGGGACAGAGATGTTCAGCTCCACCGGCAGGTCAGCAGCACAACACCTTGGGCATGCAATGGTTAAACAAAAATGTCCTGTCTGGCACAATCCAAAGTGGATGGGCTGAGTGATAAGGACATTAATTATCTTAGGCAAACATGGGACAGATGTTTGGAAAACCCATGATGGTTCTTTGGGGAAAAAAAGAGAGTATTTGGGAGCAGCATGAAACCAAATTTAAGAGAACTTTTTTACTTAGAAAGAACAATATGTCTCCTGCAGTGACAACCTGTATAGTCACAACAGACGTTGAGGATCAAGGACATCTGCACCTAGGACATCTGTAATCGCTCATGCCTCTGCTCTTCTCTTGGCTAATTAACCTCTCCTTTCCAGGTTGATAGTGAGGTTTGCTTTCTCTGAAGAAACCCCAATTTAACCTGGGTCCTCTTCTGAGTCCCAGCCTAGCCCTCCAGCCCAGCCCAGGTTTAAGTTCAAGCCATTACATCTGGAGTAATCCTAGTTTGCTAGGACTGCAGAGCAGGACACCAGCTCCTTGAGGATGGGACAGCAGTGGCCAGGAAGTGGCCACCTCTCCAACTACACAATGAACTGAGACCACCGTCTACTATTTGTACCCCATGAGTCGTCCCCTGGCTGGTCCCGTGGCTTGGAAAGCAGCGCTATGGAGGCTGAAAGACCCACCGTATGTGAAAACCCTCTCTAGACATGCATGTTTCTAGAGGACATCTCCAAGCTCCTGCAACCACAAGCTGCCCAAGTGTGCAGAGAACGTGAACTCATTCCACATGGGACCCTGCAGGCACAGGGTCCCAGCCACAGTCTGCCGACACCTATGGCCAAACTTGCCATTTTAAGTCTTACAAGGGGAGCCCACCCTGCAGCTGACCTTCCTCACGCGAGCGTGGGAACCGCAGCAGCCCTGCAGCCCGCCGGAGGGAGGTCTGGTGATGGGCCTGAGAATGTCACGCTAGAGGTTTCCTCTCTGGCCCCGGATACCTGGGGAAGCTTTGAGGACAGAGCCCCAGTTTGGCCACAGCCCACTGCACTTTGTTTCAGGGACTTTCCTCCTGGGTCCTGTTCCCGTCCTAGCAAGCAGTGTGCTGCAGCTGGAGCTGCTGCCTGGCGACATCCACGAGGGCTCACCTGAGCTGCGCTGGCGAGCATCCTTGTGGGGTTCTCTTAAAGATATCCGGACCTTACACAGCAGTCAGCTTTGATTTAGAGAGATCGTAGGGAAAAGAAGTTTGTGAAACACCAAGTCTGTTCAACGTCCTAAGGGCCACAGCTTTTCAAATAGGCTCATGAAGAGCCTCCAGAAGTGGTGCTGCTCACACCAGCATGTCAAATTTCTAACCTGTGCTGTGGTTTTTGAGATACAGGAAAATGCTCCCCTCTGGCAAACAAGCACAGACTTAAAGAGGGTCACAGAACAGAAATTAAGTGGAACTTGATCTAATGCCTATTTGTAAACTTTAACCAATTTTGAAAGTAGCAGAGAAGAGAAGAAAATACCTTCTACACTAAGGGGTAAAAAGTCATGATGCTTTTATGTTTGAGACTTCACAGCTGTGTTTCAAGCTTTGTTTCTACAGCTGAGAAAGTAGAAACTTATTAAAATAAAGCTGGACAGAAACTTCCAGAGTTAAGCAAAACACTCCTAAAACTGCACTTGGCCTTGTTAGCAGAGAACAGCTCAGCCACAGATGAAGGGCAGAGGGAGGACTGGGGAAGAGTGCACCACTGCAAGGAGGATGCTCCTGAACATCCGATCATGCAGAGGCCCAGTGTGAAACTAGCAGATAAAAACTGCTCTTTTTTCTTTTTTTGTTCTCTTTCTTTGTCTTTTTTATAATTCATTATGAACTAGATTTCTATGTTGTTCCCAGAGACCCTGAAAATTCATCACACTTCAAAACTCATACAAAGTGTACAAGCGAGCTTGAAGAATAATCACAGACAAGGTGCTTTTTGTACAAGAGCATGCCGTGAGCAACACCTCCGAGTGATGCGATGGAACACACACTGCAACCTAAAATAATGCAAGTTAGATGAGAGATTATACCATATCTCACTAACCACTTCTATTCACCCTCACGCTATTAATGACACTTTCTTAGTGTACACTGTCCTCAAAATAGGTCCTCTGCTGAAGAAAGGCCGTTCCCTTGAAATGACTGGGAAAAGGCTCAGATGGCATGTGGTCCAGCAACTAGATGTTCTTCAAACATAAATACCAAACAGCAGGTTTTGCATTTGGAAAGTTATCAGGAAAACTAATTTACTCCCTCCTGTGCCCAAGAAGTATGGTTCTACGTTTTGCTCTCCTCTGAGCAAATCTCATCCAACTGAGCCTAGCACACGAGCATGTTCAGCGCAGAGCTGATTAATGAACTCAGTTTCTTCGTCAGCTTTGCCCTGAAGTTTTCTCTCCTGGTGCACTGTTCCACATGTTTCATCTTTTATGACGATGCATCAAACTGCCACCAGTGCCAGGGAGCAGAGGTTTGGCATAAATTATCTGCAGCACTACAGGTCCAGACAGATCCTCAATATTGTATCTTTTATGGCTGTGTGAGCCATCAGCTACCTAATAAACGTTTTAAGCATAAGAACCAAGAAACAACCTTATTTTCTAATTGCAGCTTCAGGTCACAGGTTATGTTTTCTCTCTTAAAAAAACTACATTGACACGAGCAGGGAAAGTAGGAAGATAATCTTGCTTCGGGTAAGAGGCAAAAGTAAGAAAATATCCAACCTTACACTGTGTATTTTGACAGCATCTGCTTTATAGAACTCATATCTCTGTTTACTATTAAAAAGCTCTTATTTGCTGAAGCATTCCCAGACCATATGTTATCAACAAATGTTACTAACCAAATACAAACAGTAATTTTCATTAGGTTTCCTTCATGAGAACAACATTAACCACAAAGGGAATAAATGTTTCAAACGACAGTAAACATACATAGCAAACCCTTGACAACACTGTGGTGCTTCCATATTCATACCCCCAAAAGCCCTGAAAAGATCCGCGCCAACAAATAGAGACCCTCAGAAGTTGGGTTTTGTGCAGGTTGAAGCCTGCGGTGATGTCATTAGTTGCTATAGTGATGCTCAGCATAAGGCCATAATTAATGACACTGAAACATCATTTGTATTCAATCTAAGTACGCAGTTTATCTGTGCTGTGTATTAAATTATTGTTCAGAAAATTAGCTCTGGACAGTAGTTAGGTATTAGGATCTTCTGAGGGACTAACAATGTAATGGTTTCATTTCCATATTTAATAATTAAGCAGGTTATCACTGCAGGAGTTTATTTGTTGGGAAGGTGCCTTGGGACCTGTTCAGGACAAATCTTCTCATGAAGTAGCCACACTATCCTGTCCCCATATCACAGAGCTCATGCTTACACTTCAGAGCAATAATACATCTGCAAACGAGGACAAATAATGTCATTCTGGCCAAAAGGATATATATACACACCAGAGAAAAGGATACAAGCGGAAAAATCCTGACAGTACTTTCTCAGTTAGGACCATATTAACTGTCTGAATCCCTCCTGAAACCCTCAGTCTGGCATTTCTTATTGCCCAGCATATCCCAAAGCCTGGAGCCGGCCAAGAAATGCTGCCATGCATAAGGACTTTGTTAGAATTATCGCTCTATTTATCACATCTGTGCTGTCCCAGTGACATCCATAGGATCTACTTGCATCTTCCGGGTTTCTAGTTAGGCATCAAATTTAGAATGAGTAGCTAAACTCTTCTGGCTGCAAAAAGCCAGAGGATGAGATATGCCCCAGGTGCTAACTTGACAAATGCTGGCCCTTGTTTTACCTTTTACAAGCAAAATAAGTAGATCATCACTGTAGACTTTGTGTCTACAGATTCACCTAGAGGTGCCATCACAGTTACTAACCAAACAGCCTAAAGCGTTGAGATTTTTTTCTGAATGAAACATAAAACGACACATATCCAGAGGGTGTGAGTAGACAACAAGGGAGGAAGGTCACCCTTGTCCCCCACTACCTCCATGGGCTTGTCTAATGTGGAACACTTGAAGGATGGGCCTACCTGCCTGATTTCAGGAGCATTTGGGAGCTCTCACAGGCACTGTCCTGACTGGCACATGGAGGGAAAGTGATGCCATTGCCGATGCAGGTGCCAGGCTGCTTGGACCAAGCTGCTGTCAGCTGTTTCAAGCAACACGTTGGAGATCTTCCGGCAAACCTTCACGTTGATGCTACTCAGTCCTTCCCACTTATGGACAAAACGAGTAAGACCACCTAGTCTCCTCATATTGCCAGCTGTTTTTCTCCGCAATATCCCACTTATGTGGCCTAATCTACAATTTTCTCAGCTGTCCTTGAGTGACATTGACTTAATCATTTCTATTCACCTCTTGTGTGTAAGTTCCTCTAAGTGAAACTGTAGTACCCATGACCTTCCCAAAAGTGAACATAGATGTTAGTACCCAGGAGAATGCATTAAATCCTTTCATTCATGTACTGTGGTCTCCAGCAAGTCTGCTTAGCCCCTGCCTAATTTGAAACAGTAACCCTCCTTCCATCATTGCTCTTGTAACTTGATCTGGCCAGAACATCGATGCCTGTGATTTCTATAAATAATGAACAAGCGCAACTGAATTATATTGCTGGGCCATGAATCAGCCCTGCTAACCAGCTTGGCCTGTCAGTAGGCTAACGTGGGAGCAGCTGGAGAGTGATGTGCTTTCGACGGGGCTGACATTTAAACATGATCTATGACCAGTTTTCATGGGCTTCAAAAGTGCCAGAGGACACCTTTTCTCCCTCTCCAGATATATCTATTGAAACGCCAGTTTGCTTGCCAGCCTGCATGGAATAAACATGAAAGAAGCAGAAAATAAAAGTAAAAATGTGTATTAAAGGAGAGCTACACTCTTCCCTTGCTGGGTTCGCTCCAGGTGTGCGTTACGCTCAATGTACACAGCAGTACCCTGGG